GTTACTCCCCCCGCCATGGTAATTGAGGGACTTACATGGGAGGCTGTTGGGAGTATTTGGCACTTGGACAATGGAGCAGATTATGGATGGTGGACCAGCAGAGTTGCCACAGAGCATGAAAACTTTCCAATAGTCACGCCAGCTGGAGAGACAATTCTTGCAGGCCTGGCAAGTGAGACAACAGAGAAGCTTGGAGGAACTTATCAGGGACCAAACACAATAGCAGTTGCATTGGACTGGTGTATCCTGGTATGGAGAATAGTTACCAGGCCCAGGGGTCAGTCTGTGTAAAATGGGGCCTCTGATGACCTTGATGTTTTTCTAGTGGCACATGGGAGGATAGCAATGGGAGCACCCTATTTATCAGAGGAAGCTAAAGTGGCTTACAAATCAACAGGCCATGAGGCCATTAAGGGACCCATAGCAGAGTGGGTGGGCTGGTCTACACACAAATAACAACAGAAGTTTCAGGATGCTAGATGGGCCAGAGATGTATGACTCAGGGCATATACATACCCAGAGGTTAACTGACTGGACACCTGCTAGTTACAGCCAAGTACACAGACTATGTGCACAATATTGGACTCCATATTCCTAGAACAATTTCTACAAAGCATCCCGTAGAACACCTTTTTCTGGGTTATCACAGGTGAGTTGCAGATGCTCTTTTTCTTGCTGAGGCATCAAGTTTAGCTCCAGTATTGATTCTGGACTTTTGAAAGCAAAAGGATTCCACCTGATGCGTTCCCTTCAAATTTTCAAATCCCCCTTCAGGGAAGTAGCAACCCAAATTGTCAGACACAGCAGTGAGATGTAACTGTATAACACTTTACATTTCATTCACTGATGCTGTTCTCCTCAATAAGTCTGAACAGTGCTGGGATCATAGTGTAGTTCAGATGATCACTTTTCAGTCATGGTTTGCAGAGTGGTAATGACTTTTTGAATGCTTGTACCTGCTCAGTGTTAAACCAAAACATTGCTTCTTCCTTGTAAGTTAAAATTCAGTTTGTTTAGAATGTGAAAAAGCCAGCTATGTATGACAAGCTAGACTATTTCTATGCCAGAAAAAAGTGAATCTAATTTCTGAGTTAAAACACCTTGTAAGCACTCTGCCCTGTGTCAGCCACCGTATTTCAGTGTGAAACAGTAAATGAGTCTGCTCCACTCCCATTTTTTAACACATCATTTCAGAAAGTCTGCTGGTCAGCGAGGTTCCCTAAATGAAACTAACAGTTTTCCCTATTTCCTTTAGTACTGCCATATGATCAGGAGAAATATCCTTGGATGCCAAAGCTTCATGGTGAATGAAACAGTGATTCGAACCACCTCGGTCATCACCAGATCCCTCTGATATTTTTTTCATAACTCCACTTTTCCTACTTGTCATATTTACTGTTATTACTTTGTAATTATTGCAGTCCTATTTGTATCTTCCAGCCACGTAATCATTCAGTGCTTAGAAAATTTGTGCTCCTGTTTCATTATTTGATAAATGTGGAGAACAAAGCAAGTCTTCCATATACTCATCTTGCCATATACAGGCCACATAAACTAACAGTGCTGCACACTTTGAAATATCAGTACTCTCATCAAGTCAGATAACAGAATCTATGACTGACTGTAATTGGGTAATAATCTGGGCTCGCAAATATTCTGGAATATCACATATTCACCGAGATGTTGTGTTATCATTGAGAGGAATACTCCTCAATTCTTTTAGACTTCTTGTTGGAAATTGTACATGCCATATCCAGCGATTCTGGATTTTTGATGACTGTACAAGCAGTTTTCCCTTTGCCATATAATATGGAACCAACTATGTTTCCAATTCTGCCTTCCCAGTCAAAGTAGTCATCAGACCAAACTCGTGCTGATAAATCTAATTTTCACTGCTTCCTTTGAAAACATTTAAGAGGCTTATCAAGGAGTGCCCCATGTTTTGTTTCTAAGGTTATGTCTAGACTACATCTCTCTGTCGCCAGAGGGATGTAAATTAGACACACCGAAATTGCTAATGAAGCAGGGATTTAAATATCCTGTGCTTCATTAGCATAAAAATGGCAGCCGCTTTTTGTCGCCACGGAGTTTTGGTGATGAAAAGCGGCAGTCTAGAAGCAGATCTGTTGCTCACTAAACCCTTTGATGACAGATCCTGTATACCTCATTGTACGACAATAACAGAGGGATGTAGTCTAGGCATACCCTAATTGTTTTTTTAGCTTTTATGGTTTTTAACTCTTGTTGATAAGCACCTCGCAGCAAGTAACTTTAGATTTTGGTTTGCAATAGGACAATTGATGAAACCAAAAAAGCATCATGCCTTATCTATGATTTGTTTTTTTAGTAAGTGGTTCAGACAAGGTTGACATGGCAGAAATCTGTCCATTTTTATTAAACTTTCTGTTGCAGGTGACATTCATTTTCAGATGTAGATGGGTTTGGTGTCTGTTTCCAAAATTTTCTTATTACAAAATTATCCATTTTTCAGGATGAAGGTTTGTTGATTATATCACAAGTCTTGACAGCATTAACAAAGCTGACTGTGGAAAGCAGTGTTGTTCAGTGATTACATTCAAAATGGCTGCATTATGTACGCATGTAATACAAAGTGCATAAGGAACTCTGCAAACAAATGTCTTATTACAATAAGGAAAATGTGCAATATTTAAATGATTGTTCTATTACAACACATGAAAGGTATTTTAAGAGATTGTGACATTTTAAATTTGCAAGTGACCCAGTGCTTAATATTTCATGGCCCAGTACTGGGTCGCAACCTATACTTTGAAAACCATTGGCCTAGTGGACACTGTGTTTGGGTGTTCACTGGCTGGGAATGATGCTGTAAAACCACACTAGATCCTACCTGGAGAACTGCTGAGTTTGGAGAAAGAAAGTGAAGGAAGGAAATGAAACCCTCCCAGAAGAAAACAGGACAAATCAGTTTGAACAGGCATTAGGAGACAAGGGAAACTAGGAAGTATCAGAGGAGGGCGCACAGTTAATGGAAGGTTTGCTACCAAGACCTTGAGAGGAGGAACCCAGAGATAAGTGCATAGGACTAGGAGAATGAGTCCATAGGGGAACAACATGGGGAGGGGACAGGACAGGCCTGACCTCAAAGCAAAAAGGGTGAGAGGGAGGACCACAAAGTGAGACACACTCCAAGCTGCCCTTCTCTTCTGGGGCTCTCAATTATATGAGCAAGCTGGAAATCATGAGACTGAGCTACTAGAAAGATCCAAAGAATGTTTGACCTGAGCTGCTCAAAGTGTAAGCACGATGTTCAGGAATGAGATCCCCACTAGAGCTGATTAGAGAAGTAGGTATTTATCCTGCAGAGACATTTAAAGGTTATTTGCTTTTAATTAAAGTTTTTCATAGAAAATTTCTGACTTTTAAGGTGAAATATATATTTAAAATGTTTTTGTTCCGAATGGTGCCACAGTGTCTCCTGGGAGTTGTAGTTTGGGAGCCTTTATACTCCCATTCTCTTCTGTGGGTTGGGTTCTCTGGCTGGATTACCTCTGCTGTGAAGTGCCCCCTTCTTTTTCTGGTGAGGGGAGGGATGAATAATGGGCATCCTTTGTCTGAATGCTTCATAGGAGAAGAAGAAAGAGTAGATAGGATTGAAAGAGTATTTGAAATGGCATTTGCCTCCCTCCAGCCTTAAGTTTGGAATGATCTGACACACAAAAATGTGACCAATTATTTATAATTTATTTTAGAATTGAGCCTAATGGGCTTTCTTGGGAGGTGGAGGGAGAATGGTTTCTGTACACAAGGAGATTTTCACAATGTTCTTCGCATCGCGCATAAAGTTACTGTGTGAAATGAAATGGTTTTATTTCAAAGCTGTCAGTGTAACATAAAATTTGTTCCCAGGTCAAATGTGTTCCAGCAGGTCCCAAATACTGCAGGATTGTGACATTGACATGTAATAGCTGTGTGTGATACATTTTTAATAGGGATTAGTGAATGGTGATTCATGTCTTTATTTTATATGGTCAGTGAAAAGTACAGCAGACATGCTCAAAAACTTTTTACTTGCCTTTGTAACTAACTGACATTATTTGAGGATTCCCTAAATATTTCTTGTAACAAACATAGGGAATGCCACAGTAGTATTATTTGTAGAGTTGGTCAAAACCTTGAATATACATTCCACGGGAAACGACATCTCAAAATATCCTTTTATATGAAAAAAAAAATTAAAAACTCAAGAAATGAAATTTCCTAAAAAATTAGTTTGGGAAATATTGAAACAAACTTATAAAAGCACAAGGGGGCTGTGCCCCATGCTCACTATGCTTGCCAATCCCCCTCTCTCTGGCCATATTCATGGCCAGAAAGCCTGATGACATCATTCTGTCCTGCTGCAGGAAATTTTTACCACACACACACCATTTAGTAAGCTCTGAGCATTTTGTTTTAACTCTTATATTCTGCTCTTATATACATTCATAGAAATATTGAAACTGTAAAGTAAAAATGAAATTCTTCGACCTTATCCATTCAAATGCTACCATATATTTGCGAGTTTTTGTGTGTTTGTTCAAGAACTCCTAAATGGTAAGAGCTTGGACAACCAAATTTGGTATGCAGCTTCCTCTTATCATAACTTAAAGCAAGATAAGGGTACACAGTTGCAATCCGCCAGGCCCTACAGGTGAGGGTGCGCATCATGGAGGCCCTGAGGGAGAGTATCTCTCAAGGACCCCAGTAACTCTCCCCAGGGCCTCCCCACTAGAGGCCTGCCCCCCTATGCTTTTCCCTCTCCCTTCCCCACTTCCCTGTACTCTCAATAAATACACCTGTTTGGGATTGAAAAACAAAACCTTTGTATTTTTTTTCAGAAAAATAACTGGGCAGGGTGGAGGGCGGCTGAGAACCTGGACTGAAGAGGGAGAAGGGGGCTCAGGGCTGGGAGTGGAACATGGTGTGGCTCTCAGGGGTGGGAGGGGCCTGGGACAAAGGGAGGTGGGCAGGAGGGGGGACTGAAGTGGGGTCAGGGATGGCAGAGGGACATGGGAAGGGGGCAGAGGCACAGCAGAGGAGGCTGGGCGTCAGGAGCAAGGACAGGAGCCGGGTGTGCCATCATTTCTCTGATGGTGGCACAAATATTGTTGCCCTGCCCCACAAGCTGGTCTCATCTGCGGGTCTTCCACTGGGCACCATCCTGGACCTTCTGGGCCAGGGTTTGCTGCATGTCATGCAGGATTGTCTCATGCTCTCTTATGAGGTCCTTGTGGACCCTCCTGCACTTGCGATTCCCCCAGGGTCGGGCGGCTGCCTCTGATGGGGTGGATCACTCCTCACTGATGGCTGGTCTGGCTGTGGAGAATAAAGAGGGAGAGGCGTCAGTCATCCATGCAGACACTGTCTCTGAGGCCCTGCCCTCCTCTGTGAGCTGCAAGCAGGAGACTTCAGGCCAGAGGATGAAGAGGTCCTGAGAGCAAGACCATGTGTAGCCTGCACAGCGGGCCCTACCTCAGAGAGGCCCTGAAGTGGCCAGGGGACCACACTTCTCCCCCCAACCCCAGCCATCCCATGGACAAGCAGGCAAGGGAAGTGTCCAGCCACACTGGGATCCCAAGGGCAGGGGAGGGGCCTGGAGCAGCCTGGCCTTCCATGGGGCCCACACACACACCTGCCCCTGGCAGCGCTCTGTGGGAGTGGGTGGTGCCACATGCCCATGTGCTGTGTGTGGCACTCCTCAGTCTGTGTGGGGTTGTACATGCGCCCTTGTGCCCAGCCTGCTTCCAGTGGTGGCTGGTGGTGGGAGGATGGAAGGGTGTCATCCCCCCTCAGGGTTCAGACCTGTGTGGGGCTCCCCAGAGCCGGTGAGTGGGAGCCTGGGGTTGCTCTGGGGCTGCCTCCTGAGGCTGCATGGTGCAGACTTGTGCAGCACGTGTTTCTGTGTGCACAGAGTGCAGCATGATGTCCAGGCCAAGCAGGCTGAGTGAAGATCAAGTGGGAGCCTGGGGTTGCTCTGGGGCTGCCTCCTGAGGCTGCATGGTGCAGACTTGTGCAGCACGTGTTTCTGTGTGCACAGAGTGCAGCATGATGTCCAGGCCAAGCAGGCTGAGTGAAGATCAGACCCCATCCCCTCTGCGCCTGCCTCCCCAACCCCCCCGTGTGTGACAAACTGAGAGCATTCATCTGAAGATCCCTCTCCTCCTCCTCCTCCTCCCCCTCCCCCCAGAGGAAGCCTGGGAGATCTCTAGGCCCTGGGGTGAGGGTGACCATGCTGGCCTTCTCCTCCTCCTCCTCCTGCAGCTCGTCGTCGTCCTTGTCAGGGAGCTTTGGGTGGGCAACGATGGGCATCTCTAGCCCCAAGTCCTCCACCACAGGTGGGGAAAGGACTTCCCCACCTCCCAGGATTTGGTGGAGCTCCTGGTAGTAGGGGCAGGAGTGGGGTCCTGCCCTGGAGTGAGAGCTGTACTCCCTGGCCCTGGCATAGCCCTGGTGGAGCTCTTTTACTTTGCTCCTCACTTGTTCTAATGTGCAGGTGCGGGTGTCGCCTCCCAGCCAGAGCCTTGGCCTTCTGGCCATAGATGTCGGCATTTCACCTCTGGGAGTGGAGATCCTGCAGGGTGTCCTCCTCACCCCACAGCTCCAGGAGGGACAGGATCTGTGCCCCAGACCAAGATGTTTGGTGCCCCTGGATGGGTCCTGGGAGCCCTGGTGGTTCTCCCTGTGAAGGCCAGGGAGGTCTTGGGGGGGGCTTGAGGCTGGGCCATGGGTCCAAATTTGTGTGGCAGTCAGTGTCGTGTGGTGAGGTGCAGCTCCCAGGGCCAGCTTCCTGCCGCAAGGCTTGTCGCGGGTGCCTGCACCTTTAAGAGCTGGCAGGAGACAGGAACTATAGGGCTCAGCTAGACTACACAAGAGCATCAGAAGAGGATATGCAAATTCCTGCGGAATTTGCATATCTTCTTCCCACCTCACTTTCGAAAGCAGAGCTTTCAAAAGTGACAGTAGTTTAGACACGGCTTTTTCAGCGAAACCCCCTCCCTCCCCTTGTCGAAAAGCCACGTAAACCTCATTTTTTGAGGAAGAGCGAATTCTGACCATAGGGTGGCGGGGGGAGGGATGAAGGGGGGTTTTGCCAAAAAAGCCACGTCTAAAGTATTTTCACTTTTGAAAGCTCCGCTTTTGAAAGTGAGATTGGAAGAAGATCTGCAAATTCTTGTGGAATTGTCACATCCTCTTTCGACATTCTACTGTAGTCTAGATGAGCCCATAGAGTTGTGATTAGTTTGGATGGAGTAGCCAGCAGGGCACCTGTATTTTTTCCTGGAGGCCTCTTCTTTTGAAAAAACTTCCTCTTCTGTGTCCACACATACCTTTTTCCGAAAATGCTTTTTCGGAAAAAGGCTTCTTCCCCATAGAATGAGGTTTACTGCTGTCAGAAAACCCCCTTCATTTTTTTTGAACTCAATGGCAGTGTGGATGCAAGTATTGTTTTTCTGGAAAAACAGCTTTTTCTTCCAGAAAAACACTACAATGTAGATATACCTTGTATGTGATCACAGTTATGCTGGCATACAAAAGTTTATACTGTTATATGTCATTTGGCTAAATCCGGGGGAATGAGCTATGTTGGCAAAAGGCACCTTTGTACCGTTGTAACAGTGTCCACTCTAGATGTTCCACTGATATAATTTTTTCAGTAAAAACCAAACCAAACACCAGCTAAAATAGTTCAAAACTGGTGTGAAGATCCGGCCTTAGAGCAGGGGTGGGCAATAATTTTTGCCCGGGGGCCTAAACGGGAATAGGGCGGGGATACCCCACCCCCAGACCATGATTGGTCTGGGGGTGGGAGAGACCTTTTGCCCCCCCTTCCCACTAGGCACCCATGCAAGGGACATGTGGCACTTTGAAATGCCACAGGCTCCTCGCAGGGCTGGGCCAGGGCAAAGTAAGCTTCATGAAGCTCCCCCGCCCCCAGGCCCTGATTGGTCTGGGGGCGGGAGAGCACATGCAAAGCCTCCTCTGTTCTTCCCCCCGCCCTGCGAGCAGCATGTGGCATTTCAAAATGCCACGTGCTCTTGGCAGGGTGGGAGGAGGCTTCATGTGCTCCCCTGCCCCCAGGTCCTAATTGGCCAGTGAGCAGGGGAGCAGCAGGGCCTCCGCGGGCTGGATCCACCTTCTTGGTGGGCCGGATGCAGCCCACAGAGGCCCCTTTGCCCACCCCTGCCTTAGAGGAAGAGTGAAGTCTCTCTTCCTCAAGTCTGTGCGTGTTTTGTATACTTGCCTCCATTCTTATCTGATGCCTGTTATAGATGAATATTTTTATTGAAATTTTAGAATTAAAATTAGATGTATTGAAAGTGTGCCCATAATAGTCATAGACTAGAAGGCCAGAACGGTTCACAGTGAACCTGTAGTCTGACTTTCTGTATAACACAGGCTTACTTTCCAGTTTCAACTGCAGTATCTATTTTAGAAAAATACCCTGTCTAGATTTTAAAATGGCCGGTGATGGAGAATCCATGGCAATGCTAGATAAATTGTTCTACTGTTAAAAATGTGCACCTTATTTCTAATTTGAATTTGCCTAGTTTCAGGTTGCAGCCACTGCATCTTGTTATACTTGTCTTTGCTAGACTGAAGAGCCCTTTATTAAATATTTGTTCCCAATGTAGAAACCTAGTACTCAAATGGCCCATGAAACCTCTTCTTTGTTAAACTAAATAGACTGACCTGCTTGAGTCTCACTATAAATCTCTATCCTTGAATTCTTGTTGTGGCTCTTCTCTGAACCCCCTCTGATTTGTCAACATCCTTCCTGAATTGTGGGCATCAGAACTGGAGACAACATTTCAGCAGCAGTACATGAAAATCAAATACAGGGAGGTTATATACAAATAATATAATCTCCCTACTCGAGATTCCCCTGTTTATACACCCAAGGACAGCATTTGTTCTTTCGACCACAGCTTTGCAATAGGAACTTATGTTCATCTGACAATCCACCGTGACCCCCACATCCTTTTCAGAGTCACTGGTTCCCAGGATAGAGTTCCCCAACTTGTAAATATGGCTTGCGTTCTTTGTCCCTATGTTAAGACCTTGTATTTCATCATATTGAAATGCATATTTTTTGCTTGCACCCAGCTTACCAAGCAATCCAGGGTGTTCTGTATTACTGAGGTCATTGATAAAAATATCAGATAATATAGTGACAAAATCTGATCACTGCAAAGCCCTTTAGAAACATACCCACTCTATATGAATGCTCTGGAAACATTGTGATTATTTTTATTGAATTGCTCAGCCTCACTTGTGTGAGAGTTTTGGGTGCTGGTATTGATTGGTGTAAATGTTTTCATACAAACTGTTAAATTATTGATTCCGACATAAACACGACAACTTCAAATGAAACAATTTAGTGGACACTTGCCAGAATCTATTAGTTGTTAGACACTAAAATAACCTGTAGGGTATATGAAATAGTTTTTTAGAAAATTTTCTTGACCATTGTGGTGGTTGCCATTAGTATGTTTCTTCATCACATAGCACATATTAAGCACTGTATTATGTCAGCAGTAGATCACAAAAGGCAACAGGAGGAAGAGAATGGGGGAAAGAAAATTAATCTTCTTCTGGTGCTGGCCACTGTTGGCAGAAAGGCTACTGGGCTAGATGGACCTTTGGTCTGACCCAGTACGGCCATTCTTTTGTTCTTATGAGGTGGAAAAGAAAGACTACCATGTTGTATTAGAACCCTGTCTTATACAAATATTTTTGGGCTTTTAAAAATATTATTGCCTTTTCAATATGGCTACGTCTACACTGGCCCCTTTTACGAAAGGGGCATGCTAATTTTAAACTTCGTAATAGGGAAATCCGCGGGGGATTTAAATATCCCCCGCGGGATTTAAATAAAGATATCCGCTGCTTTTTTCCGGCTTGGGGAAAAGCCAGAAAAAAGCGTCTAGACTGGCCCAATCCTCCGGAATAAATCCCTTTTCCGGAGGATCTCTTATTCCTACTCCCAAGCCGGAAAAAAGCGGCGGACATCTTTATTTAAATCCCACGCGGATTTCCCTATTACAAAGTTTAAAATTAGCATGCCCCTTTCGTAAAAGGGGCCAGTGTAGACGTAGCCCATGTGTAACTATCTGCTTGAATACAGGGTGAGTCCCACACATAAGGAGGGAAGTATTTGCCCCAGTATACGTATATCTCATTTGCACAGCAACAGCACGTTTGAAATTGAATCTGTGCATGTGGTTTGTTGCTCTAGAGAAAGGTTTTCTAAACCACCTCTCCTCACTCATTCTTCTGTTCTGATTCCTTCACTTTAAGTCATCACTTGTAAGCAACATACTGGATATTGCGTTACACACACACACACACTCTCTCTCTCTCTCTCCCCCTCTCCTTATATGACTTCAAGCCCCAAATCTGCACACAAATTGCTGCCCAGCCTGGAGGTGTGGATTTTTTCTCTCTCTCTTTTTTGCTTTTGGACCCTGAAGTCAAACATAGAACAGTTATTGGTGTTGCCACCCTGCCCAGAGTTTGGAGATGGTTGCCGAGTTTGTCGGAGACTTGCCAGACCGAGAGAGAATAGGTATAACGTGCACAAGATTTTGAGGTATAACTTGTCTGATGTGCTCTATGCGGAGCCAGCACTAGGCATAAGCAGTATAAGCAGTTGCTTAAGGCCTGCTCAAGGGGGCTTCTCATATACATTTTCTTGTGTTGTATGTTGGGGTCTGTGATGGGGCATCTGCCCTGCACTGACCCGTTAAAGGTAAAACCTGTCCTGGGAAAGGGTTGAGAGCAAAGCCCGCAGCTGAAGCAGATTACTGCCAATTAGGGCCCAGTTGGGGGCTGTATAAATAAGGGCTGCCAGAGGAAGGAAGGGAGACAGACTTGTTCTAGCTGGGGGAGTAGGAAGGATGTGGCTGCTAAGAAAGCTTGGAGGCTTCCCAAGACAGAGCAGTGCTGGGGAAAGGCAGGCAGTGCAGGGGAGCTCTGGCCGTACCTCACTCCCAGGCTGCAGGGCCTGAAGCAAGGCCTGAGAGTGCTAGGGCTGCAGGGGGAGGCAGCCAGCATAGGCAAAGGCAGCAGGCCCACACCCCCTTGCCAATGATGAGTGGCCATTGCAGACTAAAGTGTGCCCCTGTGGCAGGGGCTAGATGAAGACTGGCAGTGGGTCACTGAGGCAAGGTGGGTATAGGAGGATTGGGGAGCTCCTGGGAAGGGGGGCCCCCCAGAAGGGGGCTGAGAGATACTGGAGTGGGCACTGCCAGAGGATGTCAGGGTCTGGGAGTGACCTGGTTCTGATACTGGAGTGAGGACACAGGAAGACTCCAGCCAGAGGGAGGCACCCTGTGGGTTAAGCTATTTTCCAGGTCTATTGGCAGGAGGTGCTGTGGCAGTGAGTCTGCCCTGTGACAGGATCCTGCAAAAATTCCTGGTTAGGGCCTCCAATGGGCTAGCATTACCTCTGGCTCCAGGGGGCTCACTCTCATCTCTCCTTTGCTGGAATGGAGGATTTATGTGGGGGTGGGGACTTAAAAGAGCAGAAGTAACAGGAGGAGGGGGAATCTCAATGTAAACCTTCCTGAGAAATAAAATATACTCACTACAAGAAGTCCTAATACTGCTTATTACAATACCAGTTACTACAATAAGATGTAGTACCTTTCAGATAGCTGTCTGGATCAGCAACATGGTGCTGCACTGTCATTCATCAGAACTGGGCCCGGTGAGATGTTACACACTATCAAAAATAAAGTATAACAAACAGACTGCCTATAAAAAACATACCCTGGGAATATGGAAGAGGGGTTTGCCATTCCCTGCAGGTACAGCAAGTGTTGATCGAGTTGCAGACTGTAGTAATGGCATGTCACAGTACACTGTCTCGTCTCTCTGCAGCACCCATTTCAGTGCTTTTCTCTTCTCCTTTCTCCCACCCTTCTGAGCCTTTCATTTCCCCTTCCTGTGATGTAACATCTATCACATACAGGAGGTGATTTCATACCTTGCTGCTTATTCTGAATTCATCTGCTTTGTGCTTCAGAAATTGTTGAGCTGAACCTCCTGAAGTGAAGCTGAAATTCCTTCCAGAACTGGCCTCGCTTATGCTGTCCATATTTTTCCAGCAATCGATGTCCAAATTCTTCCTTACTGCAGTGTCAGTTGTAGTGCCCTAAGAAACTAGGAAAAGTGTAAGCTTCCTGAGTTATCCACAGTTGTAGTGGATCAAATTTAAATTAAAAATAATGTACATTTTAAACATACCCACATGTAAGTATTGTTTTCTGCAGGCAGTTAATTTTTTTCAGGATCTGATTAACTATTTAGCCATCAAGCGCACATTATTTCGCTCCTCACATTTTCTCATTCTGAAAACAGAATCTCTTTTCCTGTAGATGTAGGGAGAGGGTGGGGCTCTGAATGTGCCTGTTTGAGGAGGCAAAAACCAGGATCACTTACAAAAGATAGGATAGAGTGAGGTTGCCCAGGTTTACGGCAAAAAAATTAGGCCAGACTGTTCCTGGCACAAGAAGAACAGGAGTCCCAAAGTGAGACATTCACAGGGGAGTTTTCATAAGGCACCTTTTGATTGCTCTGGCCATTGATGGCAGATACTGGGATCATTTTCCCATTTAGTTTTATCAGATGCATAGAGTTTTCTTAGGGCTGGTTATTAAAAACACAAAAAGCACTTAAAATCACTTTGCAAATATCCTGAATAGTTCTTTTGGTTCCTCCTGACATTCTTCCACCCCTCAGGAAGCCCAGGAGCTGTAATAGCTGTAAGGGGGCTGGGTGGGTGGACGGGAGTGCGTAAAGGTGCTGGAACTGTGGTGCAGGGAGGTATTGCAGCAGCCCCTGGCTTGAAGGGGTATGCATTGTATACAGGGTTTAAAGTTTGGTTCAATGGCTCCCAGCACCTCCACTATACTAATTGTTCCAGTCCCCTGGCAGTATGGGGTGAGGCGAGGTGGTTTGCTTTTGGCTCTGCATAGTGATGGATTCACTAGTTATTCCCTCACCTCTCTTCTGATTGGCCCCTGGTAATGTCTGCTGGGGTTGCAGCACAGAAACCCTGAACTTAAGTGTGGCATAGGTACACAGCTAGAGAGGAAACAAATAGGAACAATATCTTTTCCTGGTGGATCTTATAACATTTTCGTATGACTCCATACAAACACACTTTCATTTTAGGGCTGTATATTTGTTTGCTGCTCTAAAGCAATTCAATTACGGAACAAGAGGTTAATATTACACAGCTCTTTCTACGTAAGAAATATGTCGTATGGCTGAGCTGAGACAACAGATGGAGCTGTGTACCTTGTAGAGCAGAGTATCTCTGGTTAGAATGATACTGTTTAGAATGATACATGTGAATTGTATCCATATTTAATTTTATTATTTCAATATTATGTCTATCCATTCCACAGGAAAAGTATATAATGCATTATTTCATGTTTTAAAGGGGCAGCTTCTAAAAATCAGACTGCTGCTCACTCGATTCACAGTCATCAAGTGTCAGAGGATGAAAATCATTTTTCCCTTTCAGAATGATCACTGTTAGTGTTTCCTGAAAATCTCTTTAATCTAACGGTACCTCTATATAGTAGGGCTAAAATCAAATTAAGCTACACAACTGCAGCTATGTCAGTTATTCTGAAACTAGCTGGAGTTACCCGGCGTTGCTCGGGAAACTGGAGAAACAAAATGTAGAAAAACAGTAGTCCATTATCTTTTTTGAATGGTAGAAAAGTTGCACTGATTTCTATAGGGGTTAAAATATAGGTCTGCATCATCCCTGGAGAAGGGAGGGGGTGCGACCCTGGGTGGAAGGGAGGTTACCTGCGGGAGGGGCACCCCAGCTTGTGCCCGGGGCTGCAGGTGCCCAGGGGAGCAGAGTGGGTGCCTGAGTTGTTGTGCACGTGGGGGTTGGGGCACTGCGTGCCGGCG